TCCTGAACGTGAGTCAGGCACAGAGAGCACTTCAAGGAGAGTCCTGCTAGCAGCACTCTGTAGGATATTTGAAAGGAGAAAGACTAGAGACCATAAATCAAAAGCATTCCCAGATTACAGAGCTGGCATGCGCACACTCACTCAGATGGCTGCTGACTGAAGGAAAGCAAAAATACCCTCTCACCTTCCTCAGATTATATCAAATGGAGAAGACCACAGTGTCATGTAGCTGGCATGTGCCTATTTCCAGAAGCTGATTTAAAAAATCCCTTTTGGAATACTCCTAAGGTGAGCAGCAGGGATAGAAGCATCAGTGTATGCCAAAACACTTGTTATTCTAGGAGTTAAAAATGAAAGCAAAGACAATGACTATCAAAACTGCTAGAAGCCTGATTTGCTGTCCTATAGGATGCCAAAAATTTTAAAATGGACAAAAAGAGGGTAAACTAGTGACAGAGAGTTCAAGGTAAACCACGAAGTGCTAAGAACCCCAACCAAACCATTCCCTACTCCATCCTGCCTAAGTGTGTTAAACCAAAGAATAAAAAAGCAGCCTAGGAAATTTATTGAAACTTTTGCAGCTTGTGTCCAGTAGCTGGTGAAGTGAAAAACCGGGCATTCTTAGCAAGGAGAACTCCTCTTCCCCACACGCTTCGGTAAGGAAAGAAGCAGTGTCACTATCGTAGCAGAAGAGGACTCCACTCAGAAAAAGACTGCCCTCAGCATCTCGAGAGATCGTAAGTGAAACTATTAATTCTATATCTTCCTAGGGAAAGCAGCACGGACACCAGCTATTTATCTGGTATACATGACTACAAAATTTATCTGAAGCTATAAGATTCCCTGCTGTTTTATTGACCTTAAATTTAGAATCTTTCCACGTTCCCATGAATTTCAGTAAATTCATTTGGTGACAGAATCCAAGCAAAACAACTGATGTTTGAAACAAAGCTCTCGTATCCTGCTTCTCGAACACACAATATTCTTTTAAATTTCCAAGTACATACAGTTGATTCTAATTCCATTTAACTATTTGTATAAAAAAAATTCTTAGAGAGATCCACAGCTAAAATTCTCATTTCTTGTCATGAAAGCTCTATGTACTCTCTGAACAGCATTTGACATCAAATATGAACACAATGTTGAGTGAGACCGGAATAAACTGTTTCTGGAAATATTTATCTGAGGAACAAAAAAGAAGATGGTTTCAATTCCCTAGTCCATTGCCTGCTAACAGCATTTCCTTCAGTTCTTGAAATTACTGGACATGTGGACAAAACCCAATCTCTACAGTCAACATCTACGGGTCAGAGACCTCAATATTATTATCATTCCAAAATGATTTGAATATCTTTTTAATGGGATAGCTTGCTGTGTCAGGCAAATGGCTGGACACCATTAGTCTAATTCTATAAATTCATGTGCAGCCTATTTCTTAAGCTCCTGCTTTAAATGAAATGTGCTATACGCAGGGTTCCACGCTGACTCAATCACTGAAGGTCTAGCCCAGCATATAAATGATTCCCTTTTTAACTTCCTTACCTCCAGATGCTCTAAAATATAGGGAGGGTTTGTCATGCCAAGCCTCAGCATAGCTCCCTCAGGGATAGCTTCAACCAGCTTCCACAGGAGCGTCGGGAGGTCGGTGCCAATGTCTCTGCCATAAGCCCCTGTGTCTTCACTGGTCAGCCATATCTCACAAACACCCTCTGTGAATGAGAGAGAGAGATAATTAACAAATCTGTTTTAGAGCTGTTTATTTTATCATACAGCTGCTCACTCTCTTTAATGCAGTATTTCACAAGGCTATTATGCAGCCAGACCGGGTATTCAATTGCAAGGGGGAGGAATGAAGGGGGAGGCCTATCCCAAGGGTAGCAGTGGGTTATTAAGTTCATTTTACGAGCACAAGAGTGCTACAACAATGCTGTAAATTATCATTGCTGTGGAGTGATTAACATTCACAGCCAATGACTAACTCTGTGCTCCCTCTATGGCAAGTCAGTCAAGTCTGGTGCTCCGCTCTATTTTTTAAACCTAATTCATTAAACACTGCAAGCAACATTACCCAAGCAAAGCGTTTGCATTAGTGGTCATTACTAGCAGTTAACTTATTAACCGGTAAGCTTCCAATAAGGAAAAAAGAGTTCTAAAGCATAGTGATTAACATTCCTTCTGGAACAACTATTAAAAACGGGCGTTCTTTAACAATACAACTAGCAATGCGGTATTAAGGCTGTATTGAAAAGGTGAGTGACAACTGCATAACTAAGTGATAGTGTCGGAAACCCTGTTTCCTGGTAGTTAATACTTCATTTTTCCATCAATCAGGCCTGAGGAAATAGCCTACTTGATTTGCAGTGTAAAGTGTATTGACCTTGAACACTGCAATCTGGCAACAACGTCCTCCTGCTGCAAGCGGGGGAAGATCGCACCACCCTTTCGTAGGAGCCAAGAGCAACGCGGTGCTACGCGCCCGCTCCCAGCAGCCTGTCCAGCTTCCATCCTGTCTACAACGCAATCCACCTCCTCCCGCTTCCCCCCTGAAGCGGGAAAGAAGGCATTGGAAACTGGAAAGCTGGGAGGTAGACCCCTGTGACTACCGGCTACATAAGACACCATCAACTCAGCCAAGAGCTAAATTTCTACTACAGATGATGAATCAATACAACATCCAGCCACAAGAAAGTGCACATCTGAAAGCATGCTTCAGACCAGCAGAGAAGGAGGTATCACAAAACATAAATGTTTAGACGTGTATGAGATTAGGAAAACGCAAACTACATTAAATCACATGAAGTGATAAAACTAGAGAAACAAAAGCAATGGGAACTCAGGACTGCTGCTCTTAAACTTGCACTGTAACAACGAAGGAGGAGAACAGATCATGTGGAATGTCAAAGCCAATTCTATTTGTTTGGAAAGGTTTTCAAGTTTTTTTCAAGATCATACTATTTAGAATTAAATGCTTTAAAATTAAAAGCGAACCAAAAAGTGTCTTACTACTTAAGTTTTGCTTCAAGAATAGTTTAGCGAGTTGTATATTGTGTTTTCATAAAAGGACCCAGGGAAAGCATTCTTGAAACAGTGCTCTTTGGTTACCAAACTTCCAGCCAGGGCTTTGCAGTCCCCTTCAAACAGAGCTCCCTGCCACCAGGCCAGGTGTGGGGAATTTACTTGCAGCCTATACCCCCACTTTCGCCTCCACAGCATTTGCTAATGTCTTTAGAACCGCATCCCATGGCAGGGGCAGGCAGTAGGATGCTATAAAACTTATTCTGAAGTTTGCTGCCCGTCTTATGTTTCCTGAGATATGAAAAAAAATGAATCACATGATAGCTGCATTCTAAAAGAAAAACATAAAGGATATAACTAATGGCTGACGCGCTGGTTTTTTGCCATTTTCAGTAGTAATCAAAATGCTGCGCAATTACTTTACTTACTGTCTTTCAACAGAAACAGAGTAATTCTCCTTTATTTTTTTCCTTTTTTTCTTTTCGGTCTGAATGGTTCCAGGTTTTTTTTCCTGCATGGAAACGGCTCGGGGAACACTGCTTCAGAAGAACGTGAAGGGGAAAAAAATAAATAAATCACTGCCTAGGAATGGAAATAATATTCCAGTGGAAAACAACAGCGAGCTTTTAAAGCTGCCTAGGTGGAGACCATTAGCCCCCTGGTGGGCTGAAACTTCAAATTAAATCACATGAAGAGGAAGCAGCTGTAACAGTAAATCAGCAACAACAGGAATAACTGTCTCATCTGCTCTCCGATCAGGGTGTTGAACAACAAGCAACGGGAATACTCCAAGCGGAGGGAGGCAAGGACTCATAAAAGAGGGAGGGAAACAAAAAATCAGAGCTTTAGGAGAACGTTCACTTCCCGGTTTCGGGCTGACAAAATGGGCCCTCGGATCCTCAAGGCTGTTACAAGCGCTCCCTCTTGGCCAACAGGGTAAACCAAGCAAGTGCTCATCCCTGCTGCTGCAGGCCTGGCAGCAATTCAAACGCACGCTGTGGTTGGGTTTTTCTAGCTCTTTGCACTCTGAATGTAGGAGTCTTTACTTAACCTCAGTAAGAGCAGAAAACAACACGTCTGCAAGAGTCGTCTTACTAGAGCCAACCAAGCAAAGTCAGAAATACCATCACTTCGTACACACAGTTCTTACACTTCCCTTTTTTTCCTCGATTCTGCCCACCCAAACTCTTACCCTAGGCGGCATGTTATTTAAATCCACGGTCTAATCAGATACAGCAACTCTTTCATCTCTTTTGCAGGGAACGCTCCTCTCCAGATCACTCCACACACGCTGTTACTGGATAATTTTGATTCCAGTTGATTTCCTAACCAAAAAAATCACCCAAACTGCCAAGTTTGCCTGTGCAAACTCATTGCATGTGTTTCAGGACCAAGCTCCATTAGCTGTAAATGGCAGCAAGTACAAATGAGCCTTTGGCCACAGCGCTGCTATCACCACCCCACACACAGTAACCTCAACAGCCGGGCCCTGCTCTCTGCTCCGGCGTCACTGGAGATGACTGAGGACGGAAAATGTTGGAAAGAAAAAGGTTCCAAGCAAACGGAAGAGGTTTTGTACCCAGCAAAACATCTCATTATAAAGAATACTCATTGCCAATGATCTGATATGGGTTTCTCTTCTCTTCAACAGTCTAAACAACCCTTGTCACAAAAGAAGAAATTCTCCAGCTGCCACTTTTACGAGATATGGACAGTTCTGTTTTAGAGCCACTCAAGATGATTAATTTCTTTAATGAAGGTCTTCTAGAGCTTAATATTTTGCTTCATTGCATGACACTGTTGCAAACACAGATCTTATTAATTATGAAGGGGAATCCACTCCAGTTCTCTAATTCCACCTGAAGCTGCTAAAATATCGGTCACTAGTTCTGCTGAAACTCCTCTTTTTCATCAGCTTCCTCTACTTTGTGCAAACGACATTCAATTGAATTTAACTGGATATCTTTATTAAAGTAAAGCAGAACAACAAAATCCAGTGAGGCTGACATGGAAATAACTATTAAAATGAGATATTTTAGGGAAAAAAGAGATTTTTGAAAAAATATCAAAAAGTACAGTAAACCCCGATTTTTTCTTCCTTTCCCTTCTTTTTTTCTCTTATCTGAAAGACTTTCACATGTGAACCGCAGGGGTTTCTCCCACGGTGCAGTTCCCTGCGGGCGCCGCAGCGGGAGACTCCCAATTCCGACCTTCCCAGTAGCCCACGTACACTCGGCAGGAACTGCCCGACTCCCTGCCAGGCCTTCTCCGGCAGCGAATCCTTACGGGAGCCTGCAGTGCTGCACGGAGCACAGAAATTCCTCTCCCACTGTCCTTGCTGGAAGACCCTCTGCACAGGGGCCGTCTGACGTAGGTGTTGGCTAAAACCTGCCTGCAGACTCAAGGGCAATCAACCTGCTGCTGGTCCTCACCACACCTCTAGAATCACAAAGATTTAAAGCCTAAAATAAGGAGAAAGGAGGGGAAAAAAATCACTTCAAATCTGCTCATTTTTCAGCATGAGCTTGCCCAAAATAAACTCCTTCAAGCACCAGGGTTCCTCATTAGTTACACAGCAGAAATTTTAAAAGGGAAAGGACTGGCTACATATATGGCATGCTAGAGTGCTTTGCACCTTAATTCAGAAAAGGACTGGCTACATATATGGCCTAGAGTGCTAGAGTGCTTTGCACCTTAATTCAGAAACCATGAAGATATCTGAAATATCTATTGCCATATCAACCTGAAGGTAACGCTAGTTTTAACACAAACTGAGGTCTGGAGGAACAGATTTCCTCCTGCACTTGCAGACTACTCTGTACACACCGGTTTCCTGTGCAGTCCAGGCCTCTTCTCAGTCAGTCAGTTCTACCACACGGATCCCTTCTGAAAGATCCCATTGCTGGGAAATCCTAAAAGATGAGGTCAAACCGGGAGTAACCACTGGTGCCAACTGGTCTAGAAGGGTTCGTTTCTTTAAGATCACCAATAAATTCATAATTGACATGGACAAGAGGGAGCTTTACAGGAGAGAAGGTAGTTACACACACACACACACACAGACACAAATCCTGTCCAAATACACAATGTCTAGTGCTCAAAAAGGATGAGAAACTGCAGAATATCCTACAAGCAGATGACAAAAGGAGAAGACTGAAGCAAAAACTCCAGTTTGGGTACAAACCTGGTGAAATAGGCCAGCTGTTGAGCTGCGACCCAGTGCATCAATATTTTTGCCATACTTAGGAAAGTGTGGGTCAGCTTAGGATTCAGTGATATCTCATATCTAGGCCAATACAGTACTAGGGGTCTGCTCATGAGCCATCACCCTCAACTAGTCTCATTTTATTTTGGGGAGTCAAAGCTCTAGGAAAATACCTCATAGCCTAACTTTCTACAGATCCTTGTTACGGCCAGCTATATTTCCTCTTTTCAGAGATGACTGTTTTTCACCCTTGTGGGCACTGTTAAACAAGGGGAAGACAATTGTCCACTCCTGTTTTCCTAATGCTTACCATGTAGAGCAGAACAAGATCTGGATGGATGGTGCCATGAAAACTGGTTGATCTATTGGAAATGCAATGGTTACATCACTGAAATTCCTGTTAAAGATTAAGCCTAACAGAACAAAAAACAACTGGCTTATCCCTCACCCCACAACACAGAAGTGAGCAATGGCTAATTGAATGGCCAG